CTGCCGGTGGGGTGCGAGGCAGCGTGCGGGAGCGCCGTCAGGCGTCGGGGACTCGGAAGGCTGTTAGTCGATTTAAGTAGCTTTTAGCTGATGGTTTAGGCCACCGTTTCCAGCATTGACCTACGCTGTGTAAAAATGGGAACACGCGTGTCTTCCACGAAACTCTTGCAAAGCGTAATTCGTTGTTGGGATCATCTGAAGTCCAGCAAAGCACGTGTTATTTGCCTCTTGCCTTCCTCTCGCGTATTTCTCCTAGTCCTTTTCTTTCAGGATCATGTACCATGGGTGAACGGATATCCGAATCCGAGTTTGCAGCCTTGGCTTTTTATGCCGGTGATAAATCTTGCTGTGAATTGGTAAGTAGGTTTGACACTAGGTGAAAAACTTGTAAGATGTTCCAGCGGGGTTTATATGCAGATCTGATTATAGAGTAATTGCTAGTGTTGATTAATTCAAACTGATGCAAAGGTACCTTATACCACTGTGCGTTATTCGCTTGCAACAGTGCTAAACTGGGGTAGAGCATAGAGACTGCGGATACCTCTATCAGGGTGTCCTTGGTCTGAGGCTACCTGTATCAGGCAAATTTTACTGAACACGTATACAACTATGTAAAACTAGAGGGTGGTGCGTAAGGTCCTATTAGCAGAACTTGACCAACCTATTGGCTGTGTATCCAGGCCATACTTGGGATGATATACCTCAGAGTGACAGATTCAGTTCCTTTAACTGCAACGCAATCGCAACTTGGTTCATGTAAGTTCAGGTCTGCCAGTTAACTGTAGAGTATTCACCCATTCTTTGCTCTTGTCATCTCTTACAATTTTTTTCTAGTTCTTTGTGCCCTATAGAGCCTGTGCTTATTTAGTTGTTTCCTTTATCAAATGAACTGTAGTGCTCTTCTGTTTTAATACTTCCACGAATGCTTTCCTTGACTCTTATTTTCCCCTTCCTGCTATGCTTAAGGAGTCTTAGAAAACACCGTGGTGGTTAATCTTTCTGCTGCTTGGAGAGTTCAGTTATGGGTTATTTATCCTAAGCGTTGCTGCTGCGAAATACAAACTAGCTGGCCTACTATTCTTCTTCCTATGCAAAAATAAAAAGTACAAGTAAATTGAATTTCTTATTTGTAAAGCTGTGTCTTTACAAGGGACTGTTACCAGTAGAGTAGTGAGTCTCATTGGAAATTGTTTATATCAGTGAAGATTTTTTTTTTTTTTTTTTTTTTTTTTTTTGTGCTGTGACAAAATAAAGTACCTGAACAGCTGTGTTAGCATAAGGTACTAGACATTTTATCTTTTACGGTGATGCATTTGCTGCGCTATGGAAAGAAAGCCCTTGATTCTGTGCAACTGCTAAATCTTGGTTTTCAAGTTTGCTTTGGTAGGAATACCACCTTGGGCTTGATGTACAGAGGGTGTGTGTAGGTTGTTTTGTTTTTCAATATTGTAGCAAAATCCATGCTGTGGAGTGAAGGAGATGTTCAGTCATCTTTCGACATTAACTGACCTTGAAATATTAGTTAATTTCTTTTCCTTTTTGTTATTGAGCATCCTGGTCTGTTAAATATGTCACTGTTATAACAGCTTATCTTTGAGAGTAAGCCTTGATTTACATGTAATGTTGTAATAGTTCAGAAGTGTTACTTCGGGTGAAATTGTGTGATTGCTTGTCGTCTTAGGTCAAGTTAGTCAGTCATTGTTGCACAGCATGCTAGTATTGCCAGAAAGTCTGCCACTGAAAGAATAAAGGTCTGTTGAAGAAACTTTATGCAAGATGTGTTTGGTGTAATCAGTTTGGTTTTATGCTGTTCTCTAGTCATACTCAGAAATAGCTTTGCATTTTTTTTAAATGGTAATGCAGCAATACGTAGACATGATACATAGTGTTTATTAAATGGCACACATAATGTTTGTTAAAATAATAGACTTTTTAGGGATCTGTAAACCAGAAAAAAGTAACTTATTCTTCAGCTTGAGAAGCTCATGTGGAGTACTATGTTTTAAAGCCATTAAGGTATTGATACAGTATGTTGTATCAAGTATTAAGTAAGAAATAGTAAATCAGCCACTCGCTCCACTTATTTTGATATAATGTATTTATTTAAATACACATGCGCTAACTGTCAAAGCTTAATTACTATTTTTTGAAAGCCTGTGTTGTCTTCTTAAATACGTTTCCTAGGTATTCCTGAATGTTATATTGCTGCCTAGTACCTGATTTTGAGTTATTAATTTTTAGAATATTATTCTAGTGTGATGTAATATATTATTTAACCTCGTAAAAGTTTTTCCATCCATTCATAATTATTATGTGGACATTTTTTTAATGGATATGCAGGTAAACTTTTTTTTTTCATAAGACTTTAACTAAAATATTGTGTTAAATAACTCTAGTAAACATGCTTTTTCCCCTGTTTGTTTTTATTTGCTTTGTTTGCTTTTTGGCTGTGCTTAATGTGAATTATGAAGATTGGATCCAAAGGGCTTTGTCATTTGGTAGTGCAAAATATTGCAGACTTTTGAGTTTCCTTGTTTTCCTCGGGAAACCATTGGCAGAAGTGCAGAAACATGTGGGAGAATGGGGAATACCAATAGTATTTTATTCTTGGGGGAAATGGGGTGGAGGGGGAAGCATGGGGTATTCACCCACCTCAGGTTGGTCTTAGGAAATAACGAGATGCTGGTGAGCATTGGATGAGGGTTATTAACATTTTATAAAAAGATTCTGTTCAAAATGAGTAGGTACATAGAGATATTTTTCCTGTCTAGGTCCATGGTGTATGCATGAGTATTTTAGTTAATTACTAAATAATTATAGTTGATAATAGTTAAGTAAATAATTTTAGTTGATTATTAATTAATTTTGTTAATTAATGTGTCTGCATTAGTATTTTAGTTTGGCCCAGGAGAACACAATGCTTTTGAAGCAAATATCCCAGTCGTCCCTGTCTTTCATGTTTTGGCTTATGTTGTGATGAGGTCTTGGAGTGTGCTAGTGGGATTCATTGGGGATGAAACTAATCTAGAAGGTGCTTTTAAGAGTACGGATAATGTGCATCAGCCACGAATGGATGCTCTGCTTATGGGAGCAGATTTGAACCAATCTTTTTAGTTTTAGTTTGAACTAAAACCCCTTGAACAGCATATAATGTGAAAGTAGACTGCTCAGTAGCAAATACTCTGCTTTATAGATTTGTTTCCTATTTGTTCATGCTGCTTGCTTATGAAGCACATGAACCATAGACCATCTTGTGTACTCATCTAAATATGTTCAATAATTACCTTTTCTTGAGAAGAGGAATTGGTGGCAGAACATAAAGATCACTTCCACTCCTTCCTTCCCCTGATGTAAACAGTTTATATTGGTTTAATATTTAGAAATAGTTAAGCAATTGTTGCTTAAAGTTAGTGTGACACATTTGCAACATGTGCGATGTTAAAAAATGTTTTATCTTTAGGGTCATGGAGTGTTTGTACAGCGATCACCGCAGAAGCCTAGAACAGGTATGTAAACTAAACCAATATTACATAACTTTCTAATGCACTTTTTGTGCTGTGGTCAGAGCTTTTGATTGCTATTTCACTTTTTTCCTTATTTTGTCCGAATAAGTAGAAAATTATTATTTCCTAGCAGAAGCATTGGTGTGTTTTTTTACACTGGAAGAGTTCTCATCTTTTTGTCCCAATGTAACGTGCAGAAGACTGCTATACATTTATGAGAATAGTGCAGATAGTCAATAATGTGTACATATATGTAGTCAATTAATGTTATGAGCATGGAGATATAAGGCTTGTGTTCATTGCCTGTGTTTTAATTGTAGCTGTTTTTTGACTGTACAGATCTAAAGACACCTTCAAGTTGATCTTTGTAGGTAAAGTTTTGCAGTTATATTTAAAAAAAAATTTAATAGTTGCAGAAAAGCAGGTGGCTCAAGAATATGTCAAGTTCTTCAAAACTGTATTCACTATACAAATGGTAACCTGTAAGATATAGGAAACTCGGATGAACACAGCCAGCTGTGTAAAATGATTTTTTGCATGTATTAAGGCTCTCAGATAATACTGCTTCTGCTCTGAGAGTACTTGATGCCACCTCAATAGTCTAATAAGGATCTTTACCTTTTGAAGACATTTGCCTCTGAGGGAAATGGATTATATTTTTGAAAGAGCCATGCATCATACACATAATGGCCTCTGAAGGAAAAAGAAGAATGTTGCTGATCTTTTTGTACTGTGTTGCTATCTGCTGCGCTATTTTGGATTTATTGTAGAAAATAATTAAATGGGTACAGTTAGAAGAGGCTCATGTTTTATCTTGAAAATATAGCCATTAAACAGCTCGCAGCCTTTGTTAGGCTTCTCATTTAGAAGCAGGCTGCATTTATTAATTTATAACCTATTCTATCAATAACATTCAGAATGCAGGGAATTCCTTGAGAAAGGAATGTAAAGTCTGCCAGCAGGTCCCTATTCTTACCTCCATATAAATTCCCTCTCACCCTTCAATTTATGAAAAAACCCTCAAGTTGTCAGAGTGTTCAAGTTTTCTTATTTTGGTTAGACAGTACTTAGGAATACAGTGTGGAAGTAGCTGATGGCTTTGAATGTTTATTTGGTCTTTGATTACTTGTAAGGCCTGAATTATGTGGTCTAATTTCTAACTGTTTTCTTGAAGATGTTGATCCCTGTGAAGTGTGGTGCAGTCAGCCGGTTGACGTTTTAAGAGAATACTGCAACGTTATTAAAATACGCATCTTTTGGCCTCTTCTCTTCAAAAGTGAAAGTAATTCTTTGGTAGCTGATTGGAGGTAAATCATCATGTTCTCAAAGTGATTTCATCAGCCTTCACATTTGGGTTTTTTTTGGTTTGTGGTTTTGTTTTTTTATTTTTTTTACCTGTGAAAGACTGTTGTATACTTTCAGTAGTAGTTAAACTGTCTACAGGAATGCTTTTACCAGTGTTCTAAGTAAGTTAAGGTCAGATGGCATAGTTCTTGAATACATAGAAGAAAATATTAAGAGTGGGTGTCTGAAGTTTGGAATCTGAGTGTATTTAAGTACTTAAATCGATGCCCTTTATTTCAAAAGTACCAAAAGCTTTGCATATTTTCTTTTTTTTTTTCCTCCCCTCCTCTGAAGGGCTTGATTTGAGTTTGTAACCATGCTCTTGCTTAGATCTAATTACTGTAAATATTAGTAATTATGACCATGTAACACAGTGTTATTTTTCTAAATAATAACTTGTTCTGTTTTTAAGCAGTTCACAGATTTTAGACCAGAACTGGAAGAGACTCTGTGATTTAGAGGTTTTGGAAGACCTTGTTGATTTAATTAAAAAAGTTGTTGTAAGTACTATATTTTAACTTTGTGTAAGTTTTCGAGAATGGTAGTTAATTAAATCTGTACTTTTTGCATCTTGGGATTATATCTTAAATTAGACATTTCCTTTTGCTGGAGTGAATAAATTCTCTGATAGTTGAGTTGCAGCTTTCTAGAAAGAAAGTGTGTCACAGGCTTTATTACAGTTGGGGTAACTTACTGAGTATTTGCTGAGTCAATAATATGGTTGACTGGGGCCCTTGTAAATTGCTAAGAAAGAGAGTAATATCAGTGAGAAAAATGGCACCATTCCTGGATGAACAAGTTAAAAACTTTTTTTTTGCTCCTCAGTTATTGTTTCCTCATTCAACAAATTATATTTAAAATTTGCTATTGTTGCTGACTTAAAACATAACAGTGCAGAAGAGAGAATGATATAAGAAATGTTCTCATTCTTTTAAAATGTGTCATACCTAAATCTTAAAAAAATTGTTTGTTGAAATTCTGTGCTGCTGTGCTTTAGCCCCAGCTGGCAACTGAGCACTATACAGCTTCTTGCTCACTCCCCACCCCAGTGGGATGGGAGAGAGAATCAAAGAGTGAAAATGAAAAAAATCTCATGGGTTGAGATAAGAACAGTTTAATAATTGAAATAAAATAAAATAGTAGTGATAACAACAACAACAATAATAATAATAAAAGAATATACACTGCACTTGATGCACGATGCAATTGCTCACCACCTGCCAACCGATGCCCATCCCATCCCCGAGCAGTGGGCCCTGGCCAGCTTTCCCCTAGTTTAGATACTGAGCATGGTGTCATGTAGTATGGAATAGTCCTTTGGCCAGTTTGGGTCAGCTGCCTGGCTGTGCCCCCTCACAGCTTCTTGTGCACCTCCAGCCTTCTCGGTCGGTAGAGCATGAGAAGCTGAGAAGTCCTTGACTCAGTGTTAGGAACAACTAAACCATCAGTGTGTTAGCAACATTATTCTCATACTAAATCCAGAACACAGCACTATGCCAGCTACTAGGAAGAAAAATAACTCTATCCCGGCTGAAACCAGGACGTGTGCTCAACCCCAAGCTACGCTTTTTCCAGTCCACCTTACTGTTACATGACTTTCTATGATGGTATTCTTGTACTATATTGATCTTGTGGATTCATACTTCCTTATGCTCTTTTTGCTGCTTCCTCCTTCAGGCTATCCGAGTGCTCTGTTTTCACCTCCTTGTACTTCAGGATGACCCCGCAGTTTTTCCATTTTGTCTCATGTGATGGGTTCTTTGTGCTGTTTCCTCCTCTGGTAGTCTCCCATTCGATCTTTATATGAGAGGGTCTGTGTATGTTCCCATTTCCCTGTTTACCTCTGCTTACCTCTTCTTACTTCCTCAGCCTATATCTCCTTCTCCATGTAAAAGATTGTATATCCAGTAGTAAAATTTATTTGGAGGAGCAGAAGATCTCAGGAGAGGAAGTACTGTTGTTTTGGATGGGTTTCATTGGATGTATCAGCTGGTTCTTTGGTATGTAGATAACTGCAGAGGTGGTTAAAGTGACTGACATTCCTAACCAGATGTCCCAGCATCCATGCATTCTCTATTTCCACATCAACGTTTATTTATTTTTCAACAAAAATAGTAGGGCATTTGCTACTGAATACAAGAATATTTCCTGAAACTTTGAAAGGGACTAGAGCAACTGTTCAAATGATACTGCATTCACACAGAACAGAAAATGTTTCTGAGTTGAATCTGAGCAAATAGGAGCTAAAATTGTCTGATCTTAATAACTTGGTTTTATTTGTTTTCTGTCCCTTTTCCAGAACGTTCCACCTTTTATTGGTGGCATACTGAGAATTGGCAGCAGAATAGAAAATGTAAGTTTCTGAAATTGTTTTTAATAAGAATGCTTCTTTATGTGTAAATACAAACAAAATATTTGTACAAGTACCCAAAATTTTGAAATGTTTGCTTAAATAAATGGAGTCTGTAAGGTTTGGAATGTGTAGTATATAGGACTGGAGTTGCCAGTTGTTGCAAAACAAAATCTGTACATGACGGGAACTGTGAAATAAATATTGTCTGTGTAAGAAGACCAAAATGAGTGAGAGCTATGGGGGTGGTTCACATGCTGAAAATAAATGGTTTCTCTTGGAGGTTGCTACTGCAGTGTGGTTGGGTGGGTTTAGGTTGTGCAGCTGGAGCCCAGGCCAGCCCTCTGGTGTCCACTTTGGTACCTGCTGGTGGCTTTTACTTGTTGCTTTCTTTCAGATTTGCCATTTCTTGTTGAAGGCTTATTCCTTTAAGATGTCTTGGTGCTCTCTCTGCCTTCAGTCTTGAAGATTCCTAGAGCCCCTCCTATAAACACACAGTTCTATCTGGGTGGTGTGTTTTGCTTTGTGCCCTCTCTTTCTGTGCTGGTGTTGGTGTGTTATGCTAAAAGTCTAGGTATGGGCAAAAGGCAAATACACTTTATATGTAAAGACAAGAAGTTGTTGTTAGTATAATTGAAATCTTCCAGAATTAATTAGTGCAGAAGAATGAAGAAGACGAAGAAACCAATATGACTAAACAGAAAACCTCTTCAATGATAATACAGTTAAAATTATAATATACACTCTTCTAGTATCTGACCCTTTTCCAGATGTTGTGCTTGCTCTTGTACTGCTCCTTGAGATACTAAAGTGAATGGCTTCTCTCTGGTGTTTGTGTGTGTGGGGTGTGAGGTATAGCCATCACTACCTGGAGTTTTTTGCTGCAAGGACTGCTGTTGATGCTTTATTCTTCCTCATTCTAAGATCTGCTTAGGTTCATTTTTTATGTTTGGTACACACTTTTATACCCTGCTCTTTATTTTCCTTGGTCTGCAGGTTCAAGTTACAGATGATTTTACTATATATAGTATGTTTTATGTATGTTAGAAACTGCTTTTGCCCAAATTTGTCCAGCTCTATTTTTTTTTTCTTTTTTGACTTAGCCACTGGTTCTCCAGTGTCAGCTTGTGCCCCATCTCTTACTGTCCCATGCCTGTATTCCTCTAGATTGCACTGTGTGTCTCCAGTTTTCATGGCCTATGCTCTATCATATTTGGCTTGCGTTTCCCTATACTGCATCATTATGTTAGTCATAGCATCATTAACTGTTTATTACTGTCTATATGAAAGCTATTATTGTACCATACAAAAGCAAACCAAATTAGTCATAGCTACCTGGTTAGAAGAAAAATTGCTGTTGCAGTTAAACTCAAGTTTAAAACAGAGCTCTAAGCGGGTCAGGACAAGCTCAGAGTAAGCCTGACCATTCTCACCCCTGTGGCCTTGCAAACTCTGTATGAAGCCTGTGGCCTGTTGCTAGCAATGGCAATGCTGTGTGATGGGCCTACAGGGCTAGAAGTAGGGCTAAGCTTGATCACTGAAATGATGCAGAAGTGCTCCTCTTTGGAGGCAGGTTGGAAATCTTTTAGGAGATTCTCAGACAGTGCTACTGATTCAATCTGAAGGGCTGAGATGGCTGAGTAAGGGTGTGGTTTGGATCCATCTTCATTATCAAATTCAGTGTACAGTAGAACTGTACTCGTTACATGTTTCAGCTTTTAAACTTTGGACTGGGAATGTTCCTTGTCTCCCTGTGTTTGTTCCTTTTTTTTTTTTTCTCCCACTTACTAGTTTCTGCTGCCTGCTGTAGGTTAACTGCAAAAGTTAAAATAAAAACATTGAAGTTAGAAAACTCTATTATAGCTGATAGTAGCAACAGGAGAAGCAGAATAGTTACAACTGTATGTTACTGCTGGATAACACAGTTCCTGTATTTTTAGTGATATTTGTCTTAGTCATGTGGGTTTTTAAATTCTTTTTCCAAATCTGTAGGCCCAGGTAATGTGGGAGTGTCCAAGGCAATGGACATTCTTCACTCAATCCCTCTCCTTCAAATAAAGCTCTGTAGCTCAAACAATTTAAATTTAGTTTGAATAGAAGGCAAGTCATGATTTATGGAATTAAGTTTTAGCCCTGTCCTGCATGTCTAATAGCCTGGAGAAAGTTGCTTTTTCTAATCAGACTTGTCACTTCACACTGAAGCAATTTTGTATGCAGCCATCAAAAAAGTTTCTAAATTTTTTAAAATCAAATTCTGTAATTTGAATTGCTCCCCTGTCTCCTGTTGAAGAATGACTGTTTTTAATTTGTGAATATGCTGTATTATGCTGTGCTTGAGTTATCCAGATACTTATATTTGTGAGCTGCTATCTGTTTCAAAGGCTAACAAATCAGGAACAAATGCATAGTATAAGTGCTACAGTAGTATTGTTTGATATATTTATATGGAATGCTTCCACTCTATTGCCAGTGAGCCTTTGGCTTGTGTGGTGTTTGTTGGTTTTGTTTTAAGACTTTGCTTTGTATAGAATTAGAGTAACCATTTTTTTTTTGTTTTCTTCAATTGAAATAGGGTGTTTTTGATGTTGAGGACGCACTTGATTGGGTCAGATACACAGGTGATGTCAGTATTCTGCAGAGGCTGGAGAAACTTGGTGATTTTGGTTGGATCTATCTTGAAATTTTCTTTGCTGAATGTAAGTATGAACACTTTTGAAGAAACAATGATGAGGAAAGTTACCTGTGTTGTAGTTATGACATAGTTCATGTGTGTATGTATTTCATTAGTCTGAGAGTGACTGGAAAATAGTGGTGGTGGTGTGGGTTTTTTTTTCTTGTTTTTGCTTATCTGAACCATCCAATTCTTCCTTGAATCTCTGTATCTGGGTTGTATTTACAGCGCATGTCCTCTTTCTGAATAGGAGTTCAGAGCATTTTTTCACTTCAGTGTCCATTATGGGCTATATGTGTGCCCTGTATTCCTTTAACTTAACCCTACGTTGAAAGCTGCCCAAAATATTGTTTGGGTCTTTCTGTTAAATGTTTGGCAGAGGATTTTGTCAAAATATTGAGATGTTTGTCATATTTCAAGAATTAGCTTATGTAGCTCATAGGAGTTACCATAAGATACTAACGCTAGCAGCAGAACTTCTGCTGAAATGACAAAAAGTTCCCAGGCCTGCTGGTTTTGATGTGTGTTAAAAGGCTTGTATTCTGCTCTTACTTTTTGCATATAGTCATTCTAACTCAGCTGTTGCAGTAAGTAACAGGGTTGAACTTGTATGTAATGAGAAGAATCTTTTTATACTTAAGTACCAAGGTACAAATTCTTTAAAATGCAGATCTTTAAAATGCAAGTTCTTTAAAAAACAATTGAATTTCAGGTAACTGCTTGAAATTAGGCAAGTGCTTGAATGTTTTACAGTTTGCAGCCACTTATTTTGGGCTTACCCAAGAATAAATAATTCCTTTTCTTTTGAACGTTTCTGTTCCTTAATTTTTTTCTATTACTTAGTTGGTATGTCAAATTATGCTTCCAGTCAGAAAACAGAGCTTGATTCTTAGCGGCAGAAGTTAAACCCTGCTTCTTGTCTATGGTAACTACTTCATCCACTGTATTTTTCTGAATTTTGTCTGCAGGCAAACGTTATATTACTAAAGTTGCTTTGGAAGATTGTAATTTAGTTGAAGAATTTAAAGCTGTGACCTGTGAAAACTGTAGGAAGGTGAGAGAAGATACTGGAATGTGTTTGTGCTTTTCTTTGTTGTTAGTTTGGGGGTTTTTTTATGATCAAAGATTATAAAAATTACCAAATTATTAAAGATAACGGTTTCAAAAGCTTGAGTAAGTAGTTGTCCTGACATAAGTAGTTACCTTGAGAGATGCTGGCCTAATAGACAGAACATTAGTTGTTTACATTGACAGTGTACATTGGAAAGTGTTCCCCTCCTCATCCCCCCAAAAAACCTTGAGGAAATGCAGTTAATATTCATAGATGATTGTTCCTTCTTGTTCCTTCTAACACAGAAATAAGATGCTCTCAAAGTCTTTGCCATGTGTTCCTTTAGTGCAGATGTTTGGGTTTTTTTTTTTCTATGGGAGTCTGTTTAATTCCTTTGTCTTCCTTGCTACAGTACCATAGTTCAGGAGCTATGCTGAAAAGCACTAAGTAGGGAACTGGTTGAGCTGTGCTGTACTCAGCCTGCTTTGCTGTTTGACACACACTTGCTTTTGATGACAACTATACTATGGAACCCAGGAGAGGTTCTGAGTTAGTCCTGCTTTTATATTATTGTTGATTGTATTCTTGTCTGCATAACATTTTCATTAGTACACTTTTAAGCTTATTAATTGCAATGACTTAAAAGCATTACATTACAACAAATAGTGCACACATTCTGTTTTTACAAGAATAAAAACTGAGCTGCCTCTTGTCAAATTTTTTTCTTCTCATTTCAACTGAGTTTAATTATAGTGGTTATGGGATTGTTTTTTCTTGATTTCACAGAACAGTGAATCTATGAAACAGAAAGGAAATGAGGAATTTTCCCAAGGAAAATTTGATCGCGCTATAATGTCATATACTAAAGCCATAGAATTTTGGTAAGAACTGAACTGGTTAACTAGATTGTGTTATATCATATGTCTACAGCTTACTCAGATTTATCCTGCTTTTGTATAGTTTTGCATGAGCCACTCTAAATCAGGTATCATTTGGCCTCTAAGTTTAAAAAAAAAAAAAAAAAAAAAAGCTACATAACGGTTTTTGTTCTATTTTATTTCTTGTTACTGGTGGTTATTTGTGCTTTTACTGCCCCAAAAGTCCTTTAGGGTTTAAAGCTGATCTAAAATGACTGCCAGTAGGTATAGTAAACCTGAAAGGAAGTAAGTTGTTTGGTGTGAACAGCCACTTTTGGTATCATCCCTCCTAAATATTCTTCCAGCAGAACAGTATGACCAACAGTTGCAAATATTTATCATCTCAGCTATGTTGTAGAACTAGTGAACAAGGACAAATACCTAAGTATCTGCTTTTGGCAACTCTGTATGTGACAGGCTTAATCTTTTTTTGTTTGATTTATTCTCAAAAGTCATTTGCTGAAAGGGTTTGAAGTCTTTCTTGAGCTCCTTAAAGAGGCAGGGAGACAGATTAAATGAGACTTTATGTCCTATGTGTAGAGCATTTGCCCCCTTCCTGTAGCCTGCATGTAATTGTGAACTAGCTACAGAATGCTGGTTTGGTGTAATTGCTATTTGTGTTGCAGTTGTGCAAATGCTGCTTTTACAAGTTCTAATGTCTATGGAGTATGATGAAATCCATAAAGTCCCACCTTTCATAAAAAAAGCCTGACTGTGCAAACTATTGTATTTTTTCATTTTTGAAGCCTGTAGCTTTATAATTGTGCAGTTGAAACGACTAGCATTTTGCTGATGTCTTGCTTCAGATTTTATGTCACACAGTAGGATACATTTCAATCCAAAATTCAAGCTGCTTTTAGCCTCCTTGAAGAGTTGGGTAGGCTGATGTTGGCCAAGTGACTGTATCTGAGATGATGGAGCAGGCTGAGAAGTCTTTGCTCAGGGTAGCTGATGAAGGGGAGGGAGGAGCAGAATTCAGTGAAAGAGCAAAGGAAATCCTATGGCTGGGAAAGAGCAAAGGAAGTCTCATGGTTTCTAGAGGCTGTAGAGCCGGGCTGTTGTTACAGCTATTCATTAGAAATTGCTTTTTCTCCTTAAGGCCCTGCTGGAAGGTGAAGAATAGCTCAGTTATGTCTAGCAGCTAGGGAACCCTTCTTCATCTGCTCTGCGTGCTGTCTTCCCCTTCTCATTCTCCCAGTGTGAGCGGACTTTTCATCTGCTTCATCAGCACCCTCCTTCCCTAACTAGCTGCATTCCCCCTACGCTTCCTTTCAAATGGTTGCTGGATTACATATACCAATTCCCCTCTCTCATTCTCCATTAGCTATGCTGGGGGCAACACTTCAGCTCTTTAGAACTGCTGCTTAGTCTGCCCAGTCAGGCAGAGGGTTATGAAAAAGTTGTAGAGCCAGTGATCCAGAAGTGTTTGTGAGATGTTTGATTTAATTAGGTCTTCAAAGTCAGGAATTCCAGAACAAAGTAAAATGGGATGTATGTGACAGTCGAGCACACCTTTTTTTGCGGTTTTTTTTGGTGGTTTTGATTGTGTTTGGGTTTGGTTTTTTTTTTTTTTTTTAAAACAAAGCTGAGATCGTAGGGAACATACTAGCCATACTTTCGCACCATTTGAGGTGTGTCTTATTATGTTTGTCAGAGCCTAGTGAGTTAGGGAAGGAGTTTAAATCTGTGTGCTTTTTTTTTTAATTTTTTTTTAAAGTAGGCTGAGAGTGATTTGAATTGGTTGGAAGCTTTGTTAGTGGACCCAAATCTTACAAATTATTACATAATTAAAACTTAATATTTTCAGTTACATAACTTACAAATCAATGGGACTATTCAAGGAAGCTTGTACATAATTGTTTGTGATAAATTGCTTGCAGACAACTATTGTGAAAATTTATTTTTTCCTCAAGATTTTCAAAAGTAGTATATGTTACTAACTTCTCATAATTTTTTTTTTTAAGTCCTGCAAACCATCTTCTGTATGGAAACAGAGCTCTTTGTTTAATTCTCACAAGGCAGTACAAGTAAGTAACCCCTTGTTTATAATCTGAAATGTTGTGGTGATCTGCAGTTAAAAATTGGTAGTATACTTAAGAAAACAGTATTTTTAAAACTTAAGTATATAGTAATTTTGCTGTTATTACCTCAAAAAACTGATATTAAGAAAATATTAAGATATATTAAGAAAAATGAATATTAAGAAAATATTAAGAAAAAATTAAGATATATTAAGAAAAATGAATAATATTAGCTGTATCTGCTGGCAGTATGTAATACCATTTAAAATTTGGGGGGGTGGTGACTTACACAACAGGAAAAAAAAATCTCAGAATGAGTGAGTATTGTGATTTTTATTAAACCTCTTGAAGATATCAGTGTGGGTATGCAGGTTATTTACCTTAAGCGAGCTATTAAGCTAAAAATCTTTTTTATGAGCAAGGTGAATGTATACCTTTTACGTAAAGAATTTATTGTTAGTATAATTGAAGTTTTAAGGGTCTAATTGTTATTAGTCCAGATCTAATTGTTGAAATAAAAAGAAATAACAGCAATGTAATTAAGATTGGTATCCACATGATTCTTAGTTTCTGCCCATTTTCCTAGTGTTATGCTCACCCCTTCACTGCTCCTCTGTGTGGGTACTAAAGTTGGCAGTTCCATTGCTGTAGCAGTGGATTAGAGAGCTGTCAGTATGTGGAGTCCTTCTCCAAGAGGAAAGTGATGTTCATGCTGATGGTTTCTTCTTCCTCAATCCAGGATCCACTTGGGGTCACTTTTGTATTTGCTGCCATGCTATTACACCTGTGCTCTGTTTTTGTCGGTTTGCTGCTCCAGGTTACATCTGAGGTTACTATACTTGGCACTTTTAATGCATGTTACTTTTTCTTTGTTACTCTTAGAGTTATATTTGTCCAAGTCTGGCATGTCTTTAACTGACCATTGGTGAATTGTTTATAGCTGTGGGGTCTCCAGTGCTAAGCTTGTGCCCCAACTCTTGTCGTCTTGTACCTGCACTCCTTTATAGTGCATCCTATGTCTCCACTGCTCAAGGCCTCTGCCTTACTATTCTGTCTAAATCTATAGTTGTACCACACAAAGATAAACAGAAATAGAGCAAAATAGCCATAGACACCTGGTCAGTTAGAGAAATTGATGTCACGGTTAAACCAAGTAAAAGAAAACTGCAGGCAGGTGAAGCTTCAGTTCAGGCTGAGCAAGTCTGAGAAGCCTCAGTCCTGGGGCTTTGCAGACTTGGTACAGAGCTTATGGCCCGCTGTAGGTGGTGGCAGTACTGTATTACAGGACTACGAGTTACATAGCATTCTCCAGATCATCTGGAGACTTCGTGGCTTTATCTAATGCGCATGTCTTCCTCCTGAGAGGCAGTGGTCATATTCCCTCCCAGGCTTTGATAAGGGACAGGACTTTTCAGGCAGCTCGGCCTCGTGTCGTGATGTTTTGACAGTGCTCGGGGTAACTTTCCTAGCACTGCAGCAGGCTATTGAAAGGTGGCACTGGAGGACGGACTGGGTAGGTGAAAACAAAGCATAACAGCACACACTAGAGAACAAGACAAGTGCTTCAGTGTTTTCTAGTCTTTTCAACTACTTTTATAATATCTTAGTATCTTGAGGTTCTGCACTCCACTGTCTGTCTTTTACTCGAGCATTTTTTTCCTTGTGTTTGCTTCCTTTGCAATATGAATATGGTGCGATTTCTCCCATTCTAATCACTAGTTCTGTTTGGGGTTTTTTGTTACTAACTTCTTTAAATGTATTGCCACGTCTCTAAGCTCTGTCATTACTACCTGGGGTTTCTCTAAGTGGCGGTGGGGAATTTTTTTTGTGTTCTAACTTGTTTTCATTTCACTGAATTAATTCTTCCTGAAATCTCTGAAGAATTTTGTTGTGTAAAATATGTTCCTTGTCTTGAAATTATTGACTCTGTCAGGCTTTTCTTTAGTATCCAGCTTTCGTTACCACAGAGCATCTCATTCTCCTCCTTCAGATCCCTCTGCTATACATTTTCTACTATAATGGTTACAAAAAACAGTGGTAGTGACTAGGCAATTTATGAACACTTTCATGTGAAACAAGATTTTTTTTTTTTTGTTTGTTTCCCATATTTCGTCACTTTGTGGGGTAAAACGGTGAACGCCTCTTGGACCTTTGCAGGCCTCTCAAATTAGGTCTTGCTGCAGACATTTTCCAAAGGCCTCACTGAGTCAGCATGACTCAGCTATCAAAGGAGTGAGTTATTTGTAAGCTTCTTCATCTGAAGTAATCCATATGTGACCACTCTTTGTTATAATTTAGTACATCCTGACACATAGCTGTAGTTCAGTGAAGAACGAGTGATATATCTCAAAGGTATATAAACTCTGTAACTGCCTGCTTTGGGCAGCATTAGTTTCAGCAGAGGCTGTCGTTGCTGCTCTGTGTTCTTGCCTGTAGCCATAGGGATAGTCTGCTTCTCTTCTGACCTGACCAAAAATTGTAATTCCAGATACTCTATGACACCTTGTATATAAAAAGTCAGAGCTGGGCATGTTCTTCAGGTTTCAGTTGTTGGGAGTTTTGGAAGTTACTGTCTTTCAGTGCTCAGCAGTTAATACTTGCACCCTCAAATCTCTAGCTATGATTACATAACTACTCTCTAATATTATTTCTGTCAAAATATTTAGGTTTGGTATTCAGGCTTTTTATTAAGGCTTTTCTTTTTAAAGGAACATTTTGTTAGAACCCAGTTAACAGGTAGGTACGTATGCAGAACTGCTGGAAAACCTAGTAGGTAGGGGGCGGGAATAAATATCTGATGGGTGAAATAGTTGAGACTGTAACATTTTAACCCAGGTAAATTTCAGCTAAGAAGTGTTATCTCACCATGCCTTTACACAGATGAATGAACTGTTCTTTAATTCACTTTGTATTTTTATAGTGCTTTGTGCATCTGGTCTGTAGATTTTTCTGAAGTATAAATAATAAATGCCTCTTCTTTTTCCCTCCCTTCTCTAAGGAGAGCTCTTGCTGATGGAAAAAGAGCCACTATTTTGAAGCCTAATTGGCCAAAGGTTAGTTTCATGTACATTTCAAAATTGTCTTTTGTTGCTACTGTAAACCAACATAAGAACCCAGAGTCTTAATTACAGGTTTGACCCAGGTAGATGTGATATGTTCTCATCTGTGTTTAGCACTAGTGACAGTAGAATGAACACAGTGCCCTGTGGACTAAGAATTCTGCTTCAGTCAGCCAAGTACATAGTTTGCTTGTATTTTTATATAGAAAATGTTGTTTTGACACGCTTGTAAGTGTTGTTACATGGTGTTCTGCAGGTGTAAAGAGAGAAGAAAATATTTGTTACATTGTTGCATGTAGCTATGTTATGACAGTGCTTTAAAAAGAAGATGCGTTGTCCTTATAATAAAAAAAAAAAATCCTGATTAATGACCAATGTGTATTTCCCAATAGTTCTGGCCTAAAGAAGAGTAAATAAGACATAGTTACAAAATTGCAAAGTCATAGTTGAGATTAGGGGGAAAAAGCAAATTTGCTCGTTTCCAAAGCCAGAGGCTAGATGCTACTCCCTTCTGTTTCAGTGGGCTGAGTAGTTGAAAACTTCGATTACTCATCACTTCTCCTGAAACAGGTGGATTAGATAACTTTTGAGTTAGTTAAATTTTACTTTGTATAATTTTTGTAAATTTTTAGTTAAATTTTACTGCTTTTCTTACTTGTGTGAATGAATGCTTGAAATTCAAACTTATGCCCATGTAGGGTCACTACCATTTCTGTAAGGCCCTGTCATTACTGGGGGAACATGAACTGGCTTTGGAAGCTAATGAAAGAGCTCAAGAACTATGCAAGAATATTCTTGATGGACTTAAGGATCTTATTCAACAAAATGACAAGTTAAAGAAGACATTAGAAGAAATCAATGGTAACCTTTTCTGATTTAAAGATCCACCTTGAATGTAGGAAAATTGCTTCATTGGTAACTTTCCTGTAAAACTAGCTAATTTTTTTTTCCCCTTCCTATATAATTTTCTGTAGGTATTAAACAACATAAGCAGAAACCAAAGAAGTCACTTCTTGAGAAAAAGTAAGCAAGTGTCAAGTTTGGGGTTTTTTTATTAGCAATGCTTACTGTAAGATTTAAGTGATACATAGCAAGTACATTGCTTAAATTTTGTTATCTATCAGTAACTAAAAATGGATCAAATAAACTTAGCAGAACTGCAAACAGAGTGCAGCCTAGGAGTAAAGAGGACTTTTAGGAACTAAATATGCTATCCTGAGATGTGTTCCATTTCCAAGCAGTTTCCTTCAGCATTAAGTTTTACCCATATTGGAAATAACAGGAAATGGTTACATTTCGATGTTTTTTGTCCTCCCGACTTGAAGTACTTTGTTATTGAGGAAATTTGGTGCCTGAAAATGTCAGTGCAATCACACTCACTTTTTTGTGTTAACTTTGCTATATAAAGTTCACTGGGAGATTATGCTGATTTGAGGAACCGAATGCTAGCAAATGCATTTTCGCAATGGTAAAAATGAATATGTATCCTAATTTATAGGAATTTGGGTTTGCCACATCTATACTGTGCTTTTGCCTTGCCCAGAGAGAGTAAGGGAGATTCCATGTTCACAGATTCAGCTAAGTTACCATACATACTGTAACTTTTGTATTAAACATTTTTCTGAAAGTTTTTTCTGATTTTTATTGGTCTACTTGTAGTGATGTGTTATCTGTCTATCAAAAACTATACAGTAAGTAAACTAATAAACAGGGTTTTGTCAACCTGAAAATTCTGGAGGAACTTAAATTTGTTTCCTCTCTATATTGCACAAATAAAATGTGGCCTTGGGCAAGATTTTTTTTTTTTAATAAAAAAATAATAATTGTAATTAAAAAAAATCAAAGTACAATAATTGAGTTCCTGACCCTTTTATAGAAAATAGTGCTTGTTTTTGTTGTTATATTTTTGCATAGCCTTGGACTGTGCAATTTAAAGGTGTAAAAATGGATGTTTAATCAAATCATTTAAACATGCTTACACCATTACACTTCTGCGAGGGGCAGACTTCTTGTATTTGTCTTTTGTTTCTTTCATGATATGTTTGGTATGTGTCTTAAATACGGGGAAAAGTCATCAACATTAGAAGAACTACGGTTCTCTCTTCTTATGTACCAGAGACTGCAGTTCTTCAGAAGCTCATTTAATAATCTCTCAAGAACAAAAAGAAATAGAAACAGACACAAAGAGAACAGAGTCTGATCCTAAAGACCATCATTGTCATCAAAAACATGATACCAGGGTAAGTGACAATACAGCTAGCATTACAAAACTAACACTATGCTGATTTTCATCATCCTGGAATGTGCTATTTAATGCTGTGGCTGCAATTTTGCAGCCACTGTAGTTTAACAATTGTGTACTTTCTCAGCCACGTGCACTTTTCCTGTAATATCCAACTGCCAAATCTATGTTTGGAACTTTGAATTTGAAAGGGTGTGGGAGGTGGTTGCTTGAATGAGGAGGCGGAGGCTGTATGTTACGAGGAGGAGAGGAGTCTCTTCAGGTTTGTTGAAAGTGAGACTGAAGTCATGTCTGATTTAATCAACTCTCCAGTCCTGCCTGTCAATGTGCAGTTGGATGTGGGCTTCCCTTTGGCTTCAGGAGAGGATTCAGTTAACGTGTACTGCTGTAGTAGAAGATGCTTGAGCCAAAGTTAATTCATACGTAGGGCTTTTGCTATACTGGAGCATCGTTTTGCACTGGTACTGTGACATTAATGTATTTGCATGGTTATACACCATTATTTTCATGCTCTGTAGACAGATTTCTTTTGTATGGGAAAAATGTTCATTAAATAGTATGCTTAACTGGATTGTATTTAAAACTAGGGTTTTGTGGTTCTCAAACACCTGTTTGGCTTGCATGTTTAAAACAAGTGTACTATAGTGCTAAAATACAAGATGGACTTGTGTTATTTTAGTAGCCCTTTGTAATTCTTTAGATTCATTCTTTCAATTTAAAAGACAGTTTACAAGTGCAAATATTCTATTAGATTACTTCAGTTAACTTTTTTTGGTGAGGAAGGCTTAAAAGAGAAAGTGAAGCTGTCATGGGGGAGATTTAGACTGCTTAAAGAACCACTGCCAAAGGTAGCAGCAAAAGTGGTTTTATTGAAGTAAGGTGTTGTAAAAAAGTGAGGCTTAACAAATTCTGATGGCAAGGTTCAACCTATTACTTCACTGCACAGAGGATATGGTAATGATTCAAAGTTACCAATACAAGATCTTATTGGCCTGTGATACCAGGTTATGTGCGATATTGGTCATTTACCAAAGATCTGCAGTTGGTAAAGGGGCCTCTCAACCTCGAGGGGTAACCTTATGAAGTGTCCCAACTCAAGGCGAGATCGCTCAGGCTATACTTATGGAATAATGTGGTTGGCTTGTAGTCAAATTACATGCAATGGAAAAGTAAGCACGAGACTCCTTGTCCCACAATTTCCTTTGTTCCTTGACCAAATTAGTTTTGGAAGAACCATCTGCTATTTATGTGTTAATCAATGTTCTGGTTTCCAAGCTCATATAGATCAAAGCTCACCGTGTCACCTTGTCCCTGTGTGGGTTTTCAAAGACCAGGTTGGAACTAGAGAAGGTCATGGCCTAGGCCTTTATCTCCTTTGGAGCCTGAACCAAACTACCACTAGTTTGGTCAAGGAGTTGAGTGCATCCATCACAGAAGCTTAATAGAGTAAACTTTGTTCTCTGTTCATGATTGATTTTTGTTCCTGAAAAATAATTAAACTAAGGATACATGCTAGTGAAGGGTAACCAAAGAAATCCATCAACAAAAACCTCTGACTTTTAGAAGGTTATTTAACTGTTGAAGGTGCAATGTATTATGATGTGGTTTAACCCTGGTAGGCAGCTCAGCCCCATGCAGCCTCTCGCTCACTCCCCTCAGCAGGATGGGGGAGAAAATCATAAGGGTAAAACTGAGAAAACTCGTGGGTTGAGATAAAGACAATTTAATAGGCAGAGCAAAAGCCATGCACACAAGCAAAGCAAAATAAGGAATTAATTCACTACCTCCAGGCAGATGTTTAGCCATTTCCAGGAAAGCAGAGCTTCATTGCGCATAATGATTACTTGGGAAGACAGATGGCATAATTCCCCCTTTTCTCCTTCACCCAGCTTTATATGCCAAGCATGATGTCATATGGTGTGGAATATCCCTTTGGTCAGTTGGGGTCAGCTGTCCCAGCTGTCTCCCCTCCCAACTTCTTGTGCACCCCCAGCCTGCTCACTGGCGGGGTAGTGTGTGAAACGGAAAAGGCCTTGATGCTCTGCAAGCACTGCTCAGCGATAGCTAAAATATCCCTGTATTAGTAACACTTCTCATCACAAATTTAAAACACAGCACCATACAAGCTGCTATGAGGAAAATTAACTTTATCCCAGCCAAAGCCAGTACCTATGTTTTTATTCCTTAAAAATCAAACACACGCTCCAAAAAAAGTGGAAAGTTGGGGTATTTTGTTGGTGCTTACCTTGTTTTAGGTGTTTTTTGCTAGTGGATGTCAGTGGAATTTCCCAGCTGTTGCTGTCCTAGTGTCTATCTCATGTCAAGTATCATGGGGAGCCTGTATACCATTCCCACGCATAAACTTTCCTGAGTGGTTTCCTTTGCTAGACGTGTGCAGACTGTGACAGTCCTGCTGTAACGGCATGGAATTAAAAAATTAATAATCTGCCCCCAATTTGCTTACAGACAGTTCTTCTCTTTCACACTAGTTATTAATTGAAAAGGAACATTTGTACCTCTTTCTGATCGTCTTTACCATCATTATTGTAAGCTAATTAATAAATTGTTTGTTATAATTTAGCCTATAAAGTGTGTTATAAATAAGCTATATAATACAGAGAACAAGATGATAAATAATGCAAATCTACTAGCAAGGTTAAAACAGTTTAACATGCACATGTGAAAAAACCCTTTCAGGTTTTACAGGCAGGGCGGGGCAGCAAAAAAAATGTGACTCATTAGTGGGGAAAATGAAACCAATGTGCAAGGGCAAAGGGAAGGAAATGAAACTTAAACTTGTTGAAAAAGCGATCTACAGAACACACAAGAAGCATTTCAAGATTTTTGACTGTCTTACAGAACATTTCATGTGCTTTTACACTGTGAAAATCTTCATACTGTAGGTCTGTGTAAATTTATTTTCCTTTAGGATGAATATTACTGCAAAAAAGGCTAGTGTTTGTCAGACTAGTAGATAATATAAACTGATCTGAATTTGGGGGAAAACAGTGTAAGTGTCCAAATACACTTTGATTAATGAAATTATTTTTCTTTACCTCTTGATTGAAGATGTAATATATTGGATTATCAGTGTGATTTCTTTCTTTAAATTTTAGTGACTTAGTTTTTTTCTTTGTTTGAATTTAGTAATATCTATTTGGGTTTTGCAATCTGTGTAAAACTAATGTATTTGTCATTAGGTGACTGACATCCAAAGGACAGAAAGCAAAGGCTGGTCTCTGGAGTTTCCACCAAGTGAGTTCGTTTTTGCTGTTTATCACGTCTGAGTCAGTTCTTCCCTTGCTGTTACTAATAAGCAAAAGTGTATCTTGTGTTGTTTTCACAACAGTAAGCTTATCGTGTTTTCCTTCTTTTCCTGTTACCGTGCTGTTACTTAGATGCTGCTTCTTCTGTATTTCTGTCTTATTTCCTTCATGCTTTTGTAGTTTCAATCTACTTTACGTGGATGAATTCAGAATTTAAACTGGAACTAAAAAGTAGGATGCTGAGTCACAGGCTAGAAATGCTTTCTCTCTTTGAGACAGATGTAGGATCTAAAAGGACCTAAATTGTTTTGATTACTAAAATTTGTGATTACTAAAAGCTCCATATAGATCCTTAATAATACTGCAGTTAGACAGGAAGAAGGCCATGAAATACCTGTCAGAGTGGATCTTTAGCTACAAACTTTAAGAGGTATAAGTTGGTGTGATTTATTATTTTTGTAGAGAGAACTCCCACCCCTCAAAACCCCCACAGTGCCAGAGTTACTTCTCTGTGGTGAAAGTGAAGTGCGAACAGTTCTGCTCTTCAAAGTGAAATCTTTTCCTGAATTTTGCTTGGTTTTTTTATCACCTGCTAAACCTGCTGTAATCAAGAAAGGATGAGATATTTCTCTGACATTCAGAAACTGTTCTTATTTATAATGTTTGTATGGAATATTGCTACTGGATCTGGACCAGCTGTATGCTTACGGTCTAAAGTTGTGACCTCCAAGGCAGTGGGTCCTTCTAGTCCTGGCCGTGCCATGGTCTGAAGTCCTTGCTGCCCAGCCATACTGTTCATTGGACTTAACATACTTAAATACTTATCTGAATAGGTGCCCAAGTGCAGAACACTTGAAAATTTTATTTTAGGAAGCCAGTGGAGATATATTGCAAAATAATATTTTAAAATGAGCAGTAGGAGAATTGATCTTGCTGTTGTGGACTTTGGACATATGCTAACATCTTGAAGAGTTAAAGGATGTATTGGGAAATGGAAAATATGGGAGAGGTTGCAAAAGAAGAGTCATGATGAATTTGTTGAAAAGATGCTATGTGGTATTACAGTAAAAAAGGAAAGGAAGAAACTATAAAGTGTGGAAAGGAACTTACTGCAGAAAGCAGGGAAGGGTTTCAGCAAGGGGAAGTCAAACTCTGGAGGATGAATCAGTTTTGAGGAACTGTATGTAGATGGCATGAAGAGGCAAAATAAGAAATGCACAGAGGCTGAGCTGAGGAATTTTGAATGCATTCGAAGCAAGTGACAACTAAGTGAATCCAGACGTTTTCCGGAGTGAGAAGGTGTGGTCCGAATAGTAATGGAGTCTGGCAACATGTTATAAAACAAAGCTTTATTGAATCAGTGGAAAAGGTCAGCAACTACATGCCCATACAGTGACCTGCCCAATCACCGATAGCAAACACAGGATTGTAAGTGATGCCCTGGCTCCAGTGGACAGCCAGGGACACTTGGTGTCCAGGTCACCTGGTGGCAAGACCAAATAGTGCAAAAACCTTTTGAATGCAGGTGAGAGCTGCGCTGCCCCTTGGCTCCACCAACGGCAGTGGGATTTGAGAGAATTGTGCTTTACATGACTAATGTGGGCAGCGTTGTGCTGCCCATGTTGGTCAGGGGGCAGGGTGTCGGCAGTCTGTCTGTGCTGCTGATAGTAGTCAAGGGCAGGGTGTCTGCAGTCTGTCTGCGCTGCAGATATTGGTGAAGGGGCAGGGTGTCAGAAGGATAATGAAATATGAAAATAATGAAAGGCTGAATGTTGGGAGAGAACTGAAAATTCTTCCAGGCTAAAGAGATCATAGGACTATGAAATGTTCTGTTGAACGTAGTAATTTCAAAAAACCCCGTGCTGATTCCATGGGCTGTTTTTCTCTTCTTCCTTCTTCCTCCTCCTCTCCCCCTCATTATGTCAGTACTGATGTAGAAGAAAATATTTGATTTGGCTTTGATTTGAAAGGAGGAGTTACGCTCTGAATGACTGGCTGATGTAAGTTTACTGTGGGTGGGGAAGAATAGCTTTCTGTTTCTTAGCCTTTGTTCACTTAAAGGCTTAAGACTTGCAGGGTATCTAATGTAAAGGAACTTTATGCCACCGTTTCTTATCTTAAAGTTACTGTCCTTTTTGATTTCAGTTTTCGTCTGCATGTACTATTTTTTTGAGCATGTGTACATATCTGTTAAATATCTTTGTTTGCTCCTAATGGGAATGTCTAGCAAAAGCAATACTACTTCTACTAGTATTTTAAAATGTTTGAGGGGTAAGTGAATCATGTTTGCTGTTCAATTAATATATCTCCTTAAGTATTTTAACTATAATTCAGCAGAATTTGCTTATTACTTTTATTTAAAAGTATTTTTTAAAAATTTGAAAGTAGTATCTTTTTAAGTTGGGTGGAATATAGGAGTAGTAGTTTCTGTAGGAAACTTTTCTGAAATAATTTTTGTTGAATGGCTTTTAAAATTAGATCATACAATGAAAAAATAATGCCGATTAATTCTTTCTTTTGATGGTGAGAGGGAAGGCTTCTATTCCTTTATCTTCGTTAAGGTTTTGTTTTGAACGATAGGTAGGTTCCTTAAGGGAAAGGACCCTATACAATGAAGAAAAGGTAATACATCTCTCTCTAAATGGTTAAATGATTATATGCTTGAAGTGTCTTCTGGCTTTTAAAAGGATTATTGTTTTCCATCATTGGAACTTCTCTATTATGAAGAATTTGTGATGATTTTTAGTGTAGCTTTGGAGTCTTTAATGCATATAAACTATTTCAACAAACACCTATTCAGACTTCTGTGTGACAATTTCAAGAAATGGGTCATGAAATAATTCTGAACGTGTTCAGTCTTTGTGACGCTTGATTTTTGTTCTGATTAAGTGAAATGTCATTAAGTAGCTTTTAATGAAAAATTACTTGTGGCACAAGGCGTGAAGTGCGTATGCATACGATTTAACTTGAGAAATGAGTACATGAGACATCCCACTGGCTTGAATGAGATTACTCAGATTGGTAGATTTGTATTTTTCCACAATCAGTGTCTTTCAGTATTTTGTATCTAATAATTTAAAATACTTCCTTGAGCATCGTGAAATAAACATTTTTTTTTTAAGCATAGATAGTTACAAAAACTTTATATATAAAATTAATAACTCCTTTTTTCAAATTTGATTTTATGGTAGTTCAGTGTAAGTGTATTAATGAATGAAGTAATATTTTATGATTTAGGTAGCTGTACCTTAGTTTGGGGTTCCAGTCCCCGAATAGCTTGAATCCAGGTGCTGCGTATGTTGTCTGTGTGATTGTGTCCAACACTAGGAACCCACAGTTGCCTCCTAAACTGCTTCTGAAAGATTGTAGCTGGAACTATCACCTCTTGGAACAGGTAGCTGAGGTAGAAGGTGGCATTCTAATATGCCTTGTAACATCAGTTAAGTTTAACTAGCAAAAAAACCTGCTGCTCCACACCCCTTCAACTTACCATGTGTAATAAGGAACACCTGCAACACATGGTGCTCAGCACTTGTTCAACTGAATTCATCAGTTGCTTGTTGGTTCCTTACTTGTCCAGAAATGCTGTTTTTTGCCTTGCTTGTCTAACCGTCTGGTTACTAGAAGGCAGCTCTCCTATAAGTGGATTTTGTCACTGTTGCTGTGGAGTCATTAAAGCCTTGTAAAGTTCTAAATTAAAATTATTGAAAATCAAAAACTTCTTGACTTAATCATGAGTATGGCTAATGTTGTAATTCCACAGAAAATGGTTGAAAGATTATTTTGCAGTTAATGGCGTGGCTTCCCGGTTTTGAGCAATTACAATAAAGCATTAAAATATGTTTTCTTCTCCCTTGTTACTAATGAATTGTTTACTCGGCTTGTAGAGCCCTGTAACTAATCAACAACAGCGTTAGATCTCTGAAGTTGTAAAGCATATTAGTAAAGTTTTGTGTTAGGCCTTTGACATGAAGCTTCAGAGTTAGAAATGAATCGGTATCAGATGATAGGTTCTTTCTTGTCTTTGCGATCCAGTATTTCCACAATGTCAAATATTTTTATTTTGCAATCAGGGACATTTATCTCGATCTGACTCATTTTTACATTTCTAAGATTAACATGGGTTGAACTTAACTCCTGTAGCTATGTATTTTTGAAGTAGCAGACTCTTTCTGTAAAATTTCTGTAGTCAAACTGGAACATCCATTGTGATCTATTACTCCCTTTAAAAATTCTAGTTATCAACTGTGGTTTTCTATAACATACTGATTTCTTTAGCTTGTAGTCTACTTTAATAGTTGTTACAATATTGTACAGTCAGATCATTTCTTACCGAATTTTAAGATTCTTCTGTTTAGTTGAAGTATCTCTTCCCCTTTATACGATTAATAAAATTATATACTAATTAATAAAAATAATATCAAATTCATACTGTAACACTCAGAGGTGGCTTTTTGAAAAACTTCTTAGCTGTGTTAGTTTTTGCTATTGTAAATGCTTAAGATCTATCATTTATAAAGCAAAATGTGAGTTCCGAGTGCATTTTTTTCTCCTTTTTTAGGTGTTTTAGGTGGTGATCATTTTGTTTTGAAGTAATTTTTCTTGTTACAGGCCAAAGTCATCCAAACAGAGGAAGACCAAAAACCAAACCTGGTGACTCTGAAAAGGCAAGGTAAGAAATTGTATTTAGTTTTTAATTTATTACTATTTTGCATTACTTTATATAGCACTTAAAAAGGAGTTAATGGAGCTTTGACTTGCTGCTTGCTCTCTGCTAATTGCTTTGTTTACATTGTTTACATACCCTTTAGGATATAGTTCATGTTAAGGTAGCTGATTAAAGTTCACGAAATTCCAGTTTTCACAAAGAGCCTGAGTTATTACTTGAAAACAAAATATTTTCCAAAGCTCAGTTGGCTTTTAGTAAACGAAGGCATAATTTTAATAACCGCTGTTCAAAAACTGTTGCCCAAAAGTAAGTCACATAGTATAGCCGTTATAAAAGGAAAAAAAAAAAAAAAAAGTGCTTCCTTTCCAGCAAAAGATAATAGGAATCTTGTTCCAATTGCTACATTCAAACTTACACCACAACATAACTCAAGCTCTGTCTTATTTTCAAGGCCTCTTTGTACTAGTTTTACTCTGTGTACCAAATAATTTTTAAAACTTCTCTGACACTTCATGTGCTTCCTAAGAAAAAGAGATTTGACTGTAAGGTAAGCATTGTAAGTCAGTCTCAGAATTGAATACTAGAAAAGAACTTTTCCTTAGAGTCCTTTAGTTGTTTCTAGACTTAAAACTTCACTTAAAGCATATAATTGTCTAATTTTAAGTACATGAATGCTCCCAGTGGAATATACTGAACATAAATGAGTATGTTTGACGGTTTGGGGCCAAAATTAAATTGCTTAGATAAAAAGCACAATAGATTTTATGGACAGAATTTATGCTTCCATCTGTTACAACATTTAAAACAGGTTTAACAAAAGAAGTCATTATTTCCAGTGATAACGGGGCCAACATGCTCCAAACAGGTTTGGGAAAATTGCTGCGTTTATAGGTGATTCCATTTGCCAATGTATTTCCTCATCTAATAGATAGTTAAGGAGTAAAGAACTGTTACTGCTTTCTGAGATGACTGAGGCAAATGACAACTTGCTGCTTAAGGCCATGCAGAGTGGAAGCTTTCAGTGGTTTAACCTGAGCTGTGAAATTAGACAAATTAAGCTTTGACTGTACTTTCTTGCTTGTATGCTTCTTCAGCTAGTGTTTTTCAGTTCTGTTTAGTACGATTAAAAACAGATGAGGGGTACAGCAAAATAAGCTGTTTATACTGAAACAGAAAAGTTTCCAGTAAGGGATAATTTTTAAAGGCAGATCTTTCATGTAGAAGAGTCCAGGCCTTTAGGAAACCTGGGAGCTGAACCTGATTATCACTGGTCCTAATCAATGTGTGACCTCCAAATATTTTAATCTATATTTACTATAGTAAAATTCTTTTGTCCATAACTCTTTTTGAATACCACTGTAGCTAGGAGAATTGAAACTTTTGTCACAGGAGAGGTCATTTATATTATTTAACTCTGTTGCCACTGACTTCTTTCTCCTTTCACTTTTAAGGGGAGGAAAAATTAGAATTCACTATGGGAACAAATCCTCTTTAAAATAACTGAACCATATGCAAAAATTGCTTCTCTCACAGGGGAGTTTATTAGACCTATTAAAAAACCCACGGTATTTCTCCGCAAGTGAGGTACATGCTCAGTTACAATCTTATCTCCATTTCTGTAATTAGCAAGTTGCTTGGCTTCCAAAAATCCAAGGAATCCTCTGACACAGTAAAGAATTTTATCTCAGATGATGAGTGTTTTATGCCTTTGAATGTAGGCCAGAACTGAACGCATGTTAGCAACAGGCAATATAGTAGCATTAAGGATTTGAGTGGCAATCTTAGCATTGAGGATTTAGATTAGACTATCAAGCAATACTTTGTCTCTTCATTATACTTTCTCCTTTCTCTAGTTGTGCATGGCATTTCTGCTGCAGTAGTGGGAAGGAAGAGCTGGGAGGAACAACTCTGTTGCTCTCCTCTGTTCTCCCTGCCCCCACTAGGCGAAGCTGCTACGTGTATTTGATTTTAAGTGGTTGTTATGCTAGGACAAAGGATCTTGAGTTTAGGAAAAGTAGAGAAGGGGAAAGAGGCCTAAGTACCTTCTTATACTGCTGCCTTTGGTGTAAGGAAGTTCTCTAGTCACCTATCCCACCCCTTCGTAAGATCAACTCAGCTGAGAATAAGGTGGAGAAGATAAAAGAAAACAAATAAAATGGTAGAGGAGACTGCTCCTTCTCTGAAGCCCTAGTGATTCCCAAGCCAGAAGTATATGAACTATATGAATAGCATCATAATCCTTGATAGTGTTAAGTGCTTGTTATTGTGATCGTGAAAGTGTGCCATAATGATCTCTAGCATATAGGCAAATGTGATGTGTTTGATAAAAGCACAGAAATTTCTGTTTCTTGAAAATAAGATTGCATATGAAGTACATGTACAAACTCTTGATGCCATTGTCCTGTTCTTTGTAGAGATCACCTTGATCTGAAGATAGAGTCTAAAGCCATTCAAGATAACCTCTTCTGTACTCTGCAACAGGTAACTGGGAGTTGATTAGCATGTGACCTTAAGCATAAATGATTTGTTGCCTTCTAGTAACACTGTCCAAAAACCTTGATTCATTCAAAAATTTACCACTTCATGCTTAGCCTGCCTTTTATCATGAGACAAAGATTATGTGACTACACTGATTTACACTGTCTTGTTGCTGTTAGTCAACTTTTTGCTTCTCCTCCTGTAAGACCTCACACTGGAAATTAGTGTAACAAAACTCAGTGTAGTCACAGAGTAACTTAGCTAGAAATATGTTCCCTTATATCTTAATTTGTAAAAAAAACCTATAAAAATCACTAGGAATCATTCAGGAATTTATAATACCCTTCTGAAAGTTCTGACTAAATCTCTTTTCCTGTGTTTGATATGTACATTTGGAAATAATCATAGAACATTTTGTTGAATGGCTGTTTAAAATGCTGTAAAATCCATAAGTTGAGAGTTCTCCTTCTCAGGTTATATCAGTAATGAATTATGAACATCCCAAAGCTCTTGAATGAAATCATGGGGACATACATAATTAGTCATTTCCTCTCTGTTAATTTGGGGAAGTAGATACCAGAATTCTCTGTTCTGATTAATTACCTCATAAGAGAAAACTGGATTCAGGAGAGGTGCAGGTTCTGCCTGCACTAAGACCCCTTAATTTCTTTAAAATACTTATTTTTTTGTAAGGCTAATACATTACTAGTACTGACAGTAATGTTTTTAGTTGGCTTAATCTGCTTCATATGTCACATAGCTTAACATTACATTAATATAATTTGTTCTGTTCTGTAACTATATGCTCTGACAGCATTACCTTGCATCAGTAGTTCTAAGAAATTAAAATAAGTCTGAATCATTTTTTCATTAACTCATTTCTGCATTTTGGTCTCTTCTGTATCTATTTGTAGTTTCCACTGTCTCTGCCACTTTTGTTTATAACTGTCATTAGATCATGGGTATTCTCTTATGTTTGTCCTTTTTGGTCAGTTGACAGGTTGAAAACAAAGTAAGATCAAAAATCATAGATGCTCAGGAAAATACATTCAGGACATGCATTAAATTTAGTATGTCAAAAGCCTAATTCAATTCACAGGAATACAATTAAATACAGCATTAGAATAATGTTAAAAAAAATCAGGCAACTCAAAAGTATTGTGTTGCATTTTTCCCAAATCTTCCCATTCTTTCAATTTCTCCCTGCCCATGACCCTGTCTTCAGAATCCCAGGCTCAAGTTTTAACATATGGAGGGGAAAAAAAGGGGAGTTAATGAAAAGTTTGTAAAGCAGGATTACTTCATACTGAAGATGAATTCATACTGAAATGAGGTAGTGGCCTAAAATACACAGGTGGGCCTCCTTGTTCTTTGCTTTTTTGCTTGTGATTGCAGGCGTAGGTGCTGGAAGAGCTTTTTAAATAGTTGAATTGTTTCTACCCTGGCACAATGATCTGCTTCCCAAAGCTAGTTTTATTTTAGTGTTTCAACAGATCAAGAGAACAGAAGTTCCTAATTGTGTAGCTGCTTGTCTTGATTTACAGTCTCACTGCTGGAAATTCCCGCAGACTTTGGGAAGTATCTGTCGTGAAAGGCTAATAATGCGTTCTTGAAACCTTCTAACATTAACTATTAACCTAGATGGAGAGGAAGTGTAGGCAGAATGAAATAGTTCTCTGTTTTTTCAAAAATGTTTGTACACAAAATAGAGTGTACAAGTGGGGAGAAGCATAACTCTGAGCTTTGGGGGTTTTTTATATGTAAGAAGGATTAAAATGATGCTTGAACTGGACTTGAAACTTTCTGGAGAGAAAAGGATCTAAACTCAGAACAAACCCTAGATTTTTAAGAGATTAGCAGCAGTAGGTCCAGGAAAGGAAAATCTTAAGTTGTTATAAAACTCTGTTCTAAATTCAACTTCTAAAAATGTACCTGATTTGCTGCTTCAAAAGTGGAATTGTGATAAAACTCTAGGAAGTACAGAATTTTAAGTTGTCTGTTGGATAAGTATTTTAGCAAATAGCTTGCTTCCTTTTTTTAAAAAAAAAAAAGAAAAAAGAAAAAAAGGAAAAGACGATTTTCTTTTGGACTTACTGTTTTCCTAAATATTTTAGGTGGATTTAACTATGTTGCCAGAAGCAATTAAATCCCTTGTTTATGACGGTTATACAGCCTTGATGGACCAGAGGTGTCACAGTGCTGAACAAGCCTTTTCACAATTGCTGAGCATTCTAAATCCTTCAGAATTAAAGGTAAACTGAGAGGAATAACTTAGTTTAATAGTATAATTGAAGTTTATGTTTTCGATATCATGTTTCATTCTTCCCTTCCACCAAAATACTCATTATTATTGAGTTGTTGCCTGTGACGTTGACTACAATGCCAAGTGCTTCACTGATATGTATGCCAAGGAGCTTGCAAATGAGAACAGCATAGTAGCTTAGGATGTATTTTTGTAATGTTCATCATACATGTGCGTTTCTAGATACAATCTAAAAAATATTTGCCGAAATAATAGTCTTGCAAGAGTAACGTAAGATACTCTTATCAAATATCTTATTTGATAAGAAACTCCTGTCCATTGTCATCTTAACCTTTATTCATAGTAATGTAGGGTAAAAAGATTTTATATTCTTCAAGTCAGATAACTCTTTGATGGCAAATACTGTGAAATTTTGTGTATGTGTATCTAGCCAATCAGCCACTGACCCCCATTTGTCATTCTAGACTTCTTTAAATTATTGTACTGTAGTAGTTTTGCATGACAATGTGTGTGCACATCCATTCCTGTGTTTCAGGCTCCTGTTTTAGTAAGGGCTATAGCAGTGCCAACAAGTCTGTCTAAACAAGTAATACACCAGTCCCTCTGGAACTGTGACCTGGTTTCCTGGGAAGAAAAAGATCATTTTTTATTTTAAAAAAAAAAAAAAAAAGTCTGCTCAATTCTGAACATAATAGCAAAGACACACAGCCCTGCATGAAGTTGACATAGTAAGGCCTGTAGTTAGAGCATTTCTAAAAGCAGATGTTTCAGGATGTATCACTTTGAAATATATAGGGGTGCCAAATGACCAGCAGTAAAGGTGTGGTTAACCTTCAGTTTTTATGCTAATTGTAACATAGAACTGGGTAGAGGCTATGATAAGAAGGATGAGAACAGAGTTTCCTATCTCTGTTGTAGTGAAGATCTTCAACTGACAGTAGTCAGTAATGTTCTAGTTACCAGCGAAGTGTTTTTGTCGGTGCTACTACTATAATTTGACTCTATTTGCAGCAACTGAATCTTCGTATTATTAATTATGTTGTAATCATCTATGGACATGCCACTGCTCTTCTTGGAATAGGACAGCCTGAGGTATGGTATTAAGCCACTATATTGCTTTTATTCAAAATTCTAGTTCAGGCAGTTGGTCATCCATTTTTGTCTCTTCTTAACAGACATACAACATTATGTTAGAAAATCATACAGTTTAATATCTGAGACTAGATCTTTAATGGTTTTGGATAAATTAAGCTACCAAATAAGCTTTCAAATGAGATTCTTAATTATTAATGAAGTATAGGCAACTATTTTTCTTCTACTGTGTTGTAATGTGGTTACATACTAGTCTTTCTAACATGAACATTCTGCTTCTAAAACAAGAGAAAGAGAAGGGGTTTGGTTCTGGAAAACACCAAAACAGACAAGTGGGTTGTTTGGGGGGTTTTGGGGTCTGGGTTTTTTTTTTCCTGCAGTGTTTAAAAATACTCAGTGTCTTATAATGATTTTTAAAATGTCTGGGTATTTGTAGCTCAGTGAGCTCAATCATTTAATTTCAACATTTCACAGAGAGCCCATGTTTACAGAATAAGTTTCTTTTTTTAAAAAAAGGGAAGCCTTTGTGTGTGATCATAAGGTTGTTTAATTCCCTTTAATGTTCATAAGACTGATCAAAGAATAGGGCATACTGACCCACTCTACTGGAGTATAAAAAGCAGAGGAAAAGCAAAAAGCTTCTGGCAAAGTGTCACATATTTTTGTCTTAAATTTATTTTGAAGGCATTGAAAAAGGCTGAAGACCAGTTTAAGAAAATAATTGAACAGTACCAGGAAGAAAGATTTGGTTGTTTGGCTTACTATGGAGTTGGAAAAGTATACCTAAGACAAAACAGGTCAGTATAACATAAAGCTTCAGTATCTGATACAAAAAAATATTTTCATTTGAGAAACCACGTGTGGGTTTTTTTGTTTTGTTTTTAAAATATTCTTGGTTAATCACTAAATTAATACATCAGGCCGATTTATTACAACTTTGTTGTAAGTTTGTTACTGCTAAGGATGTAATGAAAGCCACTGAATCGAGTGGACTCCAGGGCACAGAGGTATGACCGACCTACCCACCCCTGCAGTGGAGGAGTGCTCATAGAAGAATGGCAAAAAAAGATGATCTCGGGGGAGAAAAATGCATTGTAAGGAAAGCTTAACTTATCTCAAGACCAGGGAGACTGGAGGGTGACCTTGGTTTTAGATAAGGCGGCTGCACAAGTGAGTCATTGGGTTGCCTGAGACAGATAAAGAGTAATGTCTTCCTGAGCTGGCCAGACCAGCACGGGGGAGAGGAAGGGGGGTGTATACGTGGCTCAGCCGAACATGAAGTGCAGAAACTGGACAACTAATAAACTTGAGAGCAGAGGGCTTGAGCTGGCTTCAACCCATGTATTCCTGGCAGTAATTCTTCCCAGCGTCCTGATGGTAAGCATATAGAGACCGGTAATGGGAATTGCATTTGTATTGATTCAACCGTGTATTGCGTTTGCTATGTTGTGCTTGTGTTGTGATTTCATTATGTCACTGTACTGCTTTATTTAATCAAAATCCCCCATAATGCCTGTGGTGGGTTGACCTTGGCTGGCTACCAGACCGTCACCCAGCTGCGCTCCTGCTCCCCCTCCTTAATGGGACAGGGAGGGGAGAAAATAAGATGGAAAAAGTCCAGGGGTTGAGGTAGACAGGGAGATCGCTTGCTAATCATAGTCACAGGCAAAACAGACTCAACTTGAGGAAAAATAATTGAATTTATTGTCTGTTAAAATAGAGTTGGATGGTGGGAAAACAAAGTAAAAAAACAACATCACCTTCCCCCTACCTCCCCTTTATCCCAGGCTCGACTTCACTCCCTCATTCCTGACTCCTCTACCCTCTCCTCCCCTGAACAGCGCGGGGGGGAGGGGGAATGGGAGCTGTGGTCAGTCCAGAACAGCTTCTCTCTGCTGCTCTTTTCTCCAAGCGCTCCTGCCCTCCTGCAGTGTGGGGCCTCTTCACTGGCCGTGGTTCCTTCAGACCACATCCACCTGCTCAGGCAGGGGACCTCCAGGCCTGCAGTGTGGGTACCTGCTCCAGCGGGGTCCTCTCCCGGAGCTGCAGGGGAGTCTCTGCTCCATGCCTGGAACATGTCCTCCCCTCCTTCTCCTTACCTTGGTGCTTGAAGGGTTGTTTCTCATGCTTTTTTTTTTTCCTTGCTCCTCACAGCCGTGCAGTATGTTTTGTGCTTTCTTACCCGTGCTTTCCCTGAGGTGCCACCATCTTGCCCGAGGGGCTCAGCTGTGCCCTGTGGTGGGTTTGTTGGAGCCAGCTGGAACCGGCTGTGTCCAGAATAGGGCAGCTCCGGCCTCTCCTCACAGAGGCCACCCCTGCAGTACTGGTCCCCACGCCCCTGCCCAACTTTGCCATGTAAACCAATACAATGCCAAATAAATCAAGTTTGATACTAAGCATTAAACCCTCCTCATGTGGAACACCTAAAAGCACCTGGGCAGAGAGTGTTGGGCACTGAGAGGGGATTCCTCCTTCCCACTGCCACAGCGTGGCCAGGTGCAGTCTGAGACACGGGAGGTGTCTACATCCCAGTCCACAGATGTGGCTGTTGTTTCCTTTGGCTGTTTTGACCTGTAGAGAGGCTGCACGTGTGTCCCAAAGAGGTGTGTGTACACACACGACAGCTCAGCTGGCCACCCAGACTAGCCCAGGCAGAGCAGCTCCCATGCATAGCACTACCTGAACTCATGTAAAATAGCAGCACGGGTAAGCAGTGTCCTGTGGCCTCCTCCCTGGCTCGTCAGGGTTGAAGGACACTAGCGAACATACGCGTGCCCTCACTCTTTAGATTGAGAAGCATACTCACATTCATGGGTCCCTTGAATGTCAGCGCAGGCTCTCCGTCTGCCTCCTATCTGTGCCTGGACTCTGGGCTCCTTACCCAGGCTGGCTTATTGGCTCGCACCTCAAGTCTTTTATACTGAAGAGTCCTTAAACAGATAACTTAATGAACCAGGTGCTCTCTCATTCCACATACTCTTAGAGTTACCTTTTTTTTTTCCCTTTGGATCATAAAATGAACCGTGAAAGTATTAGAGGCCTTGTAAAAGTTATTAATACATGATCTGAACATGTTGTACCTGTTTCAAACTTCAGATTTTCAGATGCACTTGATCAGTTCATGAAATCACAAACAATGGTTAATCACAAGATTGTACCTGGAGTATTAACTTGGCCCACAACATCTCAAGTCATTGAAGAGACACGAACAGAAAATTTACAGGTATGTGTTTGTTTTTTTTTAAAAAAAAAAAAAAAAAAAAAGCAGAAGAACCTGTTCTGTCAAATGGCCTTTCAAAAAAAAAAAAAAAAAAAAAATTGTCATCCTCCTCCCTGCCTTCCCATTATCAAGGACAAAGAAAGATGAGGGGCAAAAGGGAGGTTTCAGCCTGGAGCAGCCAATGCAAGCACTGATGCTCATTGTCTAGAGTGCTGTGAGCCCCAAGGCCTGGTCTTTGTAGAGCAGAAATCTTGTTGCGATAACAAATTTGAACACCTTGTAGCACGAGGGTGGGGGCTCTGTGTCAGGCTCTATGCTTGAGTATTTCTACCGAAGTATATGGTTCTAATCTGCTCCAAGTGTTTCATAATGTGTTAACTTCTTAGTTGCATGGTACCAAACTTTCAGTAGATGTGAATACTATACACAATATAATGCTAGACAGAACCGGTTAAAAATTTGAATTGGCAAAAATGCAAAGTTGAAAATTTCAGCAGTCGTGCTATATTTAAAAATAAATAGGAGCATTTGACCATGTAGTCCTTGGTCGATGCAGTGTGAGTTGCATGGTAAAATTCCCTGTTTGACTTGGAAAATTTAACTTGTGGTTCTGACAGTACAAATTGCTTTCTCATGCTGAACAGCTTTATTATTATTATTACTACTACTACTATTACTATTGTTATTGTTTTTAAACTATAATTGAGTCACTGTTATTTGTGAAGGGTTTCTAGATAAACCATGCTATGAGAGGCAAAACACATGAGCTCCTCTGCGTGGAGGCAGTTTGACACAGTAAAACATGCTAGGTTACTCAGCATATGAAGTTGGCTATGGTATACTGACCTGTTTTGTTGCTGGTAGAAGCAGCTGCACTGTTGTTTCCTAAACAAAAACTGACCTAAAGATTTCTCATAGACCCCCAGCTGACACCACAGTAGTCTTGGCCACAGTAGTATATCAGTGGTCTGGGACTTCTGGAGGGCATAATGCAAATATCTGAAAGGCTGTAACTGGTGGTCTGTTTGTTTCTAATAATGTTTTATTAATCTGGGCTCAGTGCCAACCCAGTGGGACTTGAACTGACTTTACATAAAGCCACTGAAATGCCTTTACCTCGGATGCTATTCTGGGAGATCTCACTGGCCCCAGTGCAGGGCCAGGTCTGAGGTGCCCCTGGGAATGTACTTGATCCTGTACTGCAGATCCCAGGTGAGGCGCTCCTGAAATGCTGGGAAATGATGGAAATGAGCAGGCACTCCATTTTCATCACATTATCTGAGTAATCTGGTTCATCATTTTGGCAATGGAAAACTTGTTATGTTCTTATGTGTTTGGAATTGGTCAGCATGTAAAACATTGGTCCATGATAAACCTGTATACAGGGATGCTGTGAGTACTTAGCTGATAGCAGTTCAAACAAGCTTTTGAATATTTTGCCATAAAAGGACAGTCTTCCATAGCTTTCACTAGAAAACAGTTGTTCTTTTGGTATTAGTTGTCTGCTGTTCAAAAAGAGATGTGTTTCACTGCAGAGTTCCCTAGAAGTTTGTAAGTAGATACCGAATCTTTTCTGGTTTCTGTGCAATTTGTCTTATATAATTTTGGTTTTCTCAGTTAATTTTAAAGAATTATATTGAGGAATGCAAGTTCCCTCCAGAACCAGATGCAATTTGTCGATACCAGCAATGCCATGGCCACTCCAAAATCCAAATATATTTTACAGACCCAGACTTTAAGGTAAATTTTTAGTTTAAAAGGGTTTGGGAAATAAAACTTCATGTTTACATGTTTTCTGCCCCTTTTCCTATTAAAGAGCTATCTGAACACACCATCTATCCTATCTACTGTTAAGTTGTGCACTGTTTTCTGGATTTTTTCAAAGATGCTAAATTCATATTCTTTCTCAATGTTAGGGTTTTATACGTATTACTTGCTGTCAGCAATGTAGAGTGGAGTTTCATATCAGCTGTTGGAAAAAGTTGAAAACAACAAACTACAGTGATAAAAATGATAAGGTAAGAGCTGTGTCAGACAACAAGCATTTTGGTTTTTCTTTTTTTAGTCAAGATTATAGCATTCCCTTGGTTTCTGGTAAGTGCAGTGCTACAGCCTGATGTCCCACCTGCATGACAATGGCAGGAGGAGAGACAGGAAAGAGGAGTGTCTTGCTAGTGTGGGTAAAGCTTGCTGTTGTCTACAGAAGTAAGGCCTGTCTGTACGAAGGCTTAGTATGCTTAGCCTGTTTGTCTTGCATCATTTATGTCCTCCCATATGGAAGTTTTATTGCTTCTACAGTCTTGCCGTTGAAGCAACGGTTCAACATTGAGTCTGTCTAAAAGAATTTTACAAAATAAGTTAGCAGCAGCCAGTATCAAATGAAGGGAAATCCAGGCATCATATGAACTCATAAAAGACTATACTTAAAGTTTACTCTTGAACATGAAGTTGGAGGAGGAGGAGGGGCTTTGTTCTGGCTTTGGGAATAACAGGTATATGCCACAGATCTAGGATCCTTTTGATTTACAGTCCTTGCCAAGTCAGCTGTCACGTGCTTTCCTCATCCAGTAAGAGTTTAGGACTGTGCTAGCTTTAATGACCTTGGTCACCTCAGTTAAGAAACTAATCTGTAGAAGAACATAGTTTTTGCATGAATTTAAATGTCTTTGTTGTGTGTATCATCTTCTCCTACAGGATTTTCTTCAAGAATTGTGCTTCACCCCTGATTGTACAGGCCTTATTTCAAAAATAGTTATTTTCAGTTCTTCTGGTCTCGTAAAATGCGAAGTAAGTAAATGTTCATGCAAAATATGAAAATAATCTTTAAAATATTTATTCTAGCAAAGGAGATAAAGTGACGATGAGAATGTAACTGCAAGCACATAAGTAATATGCTATCTTAACTACAGAATCTGAAATTATTTAGGAAAATTAATTACCTGTTCTCTTCTTACCTGTTCTTCTCGTGGATCAGGTATTACCTTATGATATTGGTTAGAATTGTCATGGAAGGGAACTGGAGCTTTGTTTTATATTTAGCTTGTGTGACACGAAAGGAACTGTTAGTTCAACTCGGAAAGTGCTCTTACTCTCTACAGAGTCACAGGAAGATGGATGCTTCTTCCCAGACCAGTATCGGTCTGTGAAAAGGGGGTGGGGGGGGAATAAAAAAAAATAAAATTGAAAGATTGTAGTTTGCTTCTTGACCACTGGTAAAGCAAAACAGCCTCCAGCTCTTCCTGACTTTGTGTACCTTTCAACCTGTCTTTTCTACAGATAAAGAAGTATTGCTGTATACCAAGTTGTAGCGATAGAAGATAGTTTTAGGTAGACCTTCATGAGGCTTTTGTAGGCCGCATTATAGTCTTTTATAGTATTACTTTTGCTGCTTTCCAAAGCATCAAATATTCCTGGGTTTTGAGTACAGCAATGTTGCGTTGTACCCCAAACTTAATTAATATGATGTCACTTACTTTGGTAGTTTGAACAAAAAATCACAAAAACCAAGGAACCACCAAGAGCCAGTATTAAACAGAAATGTTCAAGGTAAGCTCTCTACTGTTTAAAACTAAGTCGAATCAATCTGAGAAAACACAAATTTTTCTTTAGGATTGGTTTTCATGCCTTTTTAAGAACTGCTAACATACCATAAATACTTTGGAAAGCTATTCTTGCTCTTTGCCTCTGATAAACTAAAAAGTCTGATAAAATATGTTATGATCCAGCATTTAAATTAACTTGTCAAAGAAGATACAGAGCTACAGATTCATAACAAGCACAGGAGGGCATTAACTGGTATTGCTGAATAAATTATTGGTACCTCTCTAGTGATCATACAGTTCTTTTAAAACAACATTTGCAGTTTGGCCACAGGAACCCGTTTTCAGATATACAGGATATGTGTTGATGCAAATCTGGTTTCCCACACTTCTGTATTGAGGGATGAATTGCCCATTGCATCATTGACTTCCGGGCAATTTGAACCAATAGTTTTTGAATATAAATAGCTGTGGTCATCTTTAAGTCTTTATACCTGAAACTTAATTTCATTATGAAATCTACAGGCAGGGAAGTAACATGCGGGAAAGTGTGATTTGGACACTGTGTGCAGAACTTGAGGACTCTTTCTTTATTTTTGCTCTCCATACATGTCTTTCATTTGTGCTAAGACACTTAACAGTTGGAATGCTAAAAGAATTTGTCTGTTATTATTCTTAATGGATGAGTGTCTACCCTTGACTTTCACTGCACATCCGTCTAGATAGGTAGATAGATACCACCTCTATTTTCAGTCTGAGATTGCAAGCACCATTCTATTCCTTCCGCTTGCTAGAGGGAAGAAATTCAGCAAGACTTTTAGCTGGATGGGAGAGGTATTGTGTGGCATAAGTTCAACACTACTGTTCCACAGCATTTAGTTTCTAACCAACTTTGTGTGAATGTTTAGAAAGTGTAAATAAAAACTATATATAATACAGTTCTGTTGTTGATGCACATGTGTTTGACATAACTGACTTTATACTTTTTGGTCAAGTAAGGTTATAAATAATGAGGAATCCTGCTGAGAGGATGAAAAAAAAATTGATTTTTAAAAGTTAAGGAAATCACATGTTAATATTTGGTTCAAAATGCTGAATTATAAATTAAGAAAAAAACTGGTAGTAGTTAAGTTAATCCTAATTTGGACCTCATTAATGGGAGTAAAAATGATTGCATGTTGGGGATATTCTTACACTTACGTACTTCATCTTTATGAAACTTGTATGAAATTTTGTGGTGATTCTAAATGAAAACTAGCTTTACTGAATTTGTACTTTTCAGCATAGTATTTTATGATAGAATGGGGCTTATAGCTATTGCAAGACATGAAAAATAACTGAGATTTGCCTAACTCCTCCGGCAACTTACCTCAACCAACGTTAGGCTCACCACTTAATTGCTTTTTTCAGTCTTAGGAAGTTAAAAATGAAACAAGAAAAAAAATTACGAAGAAAATGTGCACGAGAAGAGGCACGGAATTCTGCTAAAAAGAAAGTAGAAGAAAACCAAACAGGAGATGAACCGTCTCAACACAGTCATCACAGTGGTATGTGAAAGTATAGATTATTGTTCTAAGTTATCACGAGGTAGCATAATTAACATTCTGAATGCCCTAAGTCAAATTATAGCAGAATACTAATATCGAACATAATATCTCCCTTAAAGACTTGCATTTTTATTGAAGATTACCTTTATTTCAGTTCTGGTTTTAATTACTAAATAATTGCAAGGTGTTAGTATATGGTTAAGTTCCTTGTAGAAAACCTTTATTCTTGCTTCACTGGTTCATGAAGAAGCAGCCTGAAGATGGCACAGGCTCTATTTAAAAGTGGCTTGAGAAAAATCTTTATGCGCAACAAGTTAGGACATTGCTACAGAGAAAAAAAAAATTAAGAACTGCATCTCAGATAAAGAAAGAACGATATGCTAACTGCATAAACTGCCCTGCATCAGGGCTGGCATGCAACCCACACAGATAAATCTGTATAGACAATTGCTTGAAGCTACTATAACTGGCAGGTAATCTTTTTTTTTTTCTTTCTGAAATCTAGTTAAGGTGCTAAGGATTGTTTGTTTGCATAAACAGAATTTAAAACAATGTTGTGTCAAATTCATAATGCTAAGACTAGTTTATATGGGAAGTTGTATATTCTGTAACTTTCAGTGTGGTGATAAAGCAAATAATTAAAACCACCACTTAGTCCAAATTATCTGTACTTTAAAGTTGATCTTTTTAATTGTGGTAAACAGACATGAAATCTTGTTTTGTTTGTTTTTTTTAAATCCCATTATAGGTTATGTTCAGGATTTATATGCTGGTGATCGAGTCCTGCAGCATATCAGTCGAAACGCTGAGCAAATAAAAACAGCTGTTCGCGATGCTTCCAAACTATTAAAGGAATTACTTTCATGGTTTGTAATCAGTGAGGAGGATTACACGTCATATTCCAAAACTAGCAGCATGTCACATGAAGTGATGGAGCAGCTCATCAGTTACTTAATTCAGGAAAAAAACAGAGTAAAAACAAGGGGGTTTATCCACGTGCTGAGTGAGCTGGAAGAAGTGGATCCCAAATTACACAAGTGGCTGAAACATCTTAACAACCTGGGTAGGCTATATGTTTATGTAATAGTAGAAGACCTTACCCTGTCATAATTGTTCAGTTTACAGATGAAAAGATAGCCTTCCTATTTTCCAGACTTGCTTTCTTAACTTTAAATGGTAAAGTAAAGCTTTCTTCTTTCTCATTTACTCGATCCTTAGCCTGGATTTCTAGAGAAGTATGATCATTGGTAACACAGGAAAAACCTCTTGTGTCTCTGCAAGTGAAGCATTCTATTGTGGGCAGGGTTTTGTCTATGTAGGAAAAAGAAAATTGAGCAGATTTATTTTTTTCATGTCTTTAAATTCAGTAGGCTTAAATGATAATACCTGTATAAATAATAAGATGCCAAAACCTTGGGCAAGATTTGGGTTCTTAATTCCATTCTGTTGCATCCATGTCCTCTGAGGAATTTATATAGATTTATTATACAAACAATAATTTGCTGTTGACTAAGAGTAAAACTTACATGGACTCAGTTTATCATTTTTTGTTTGCATTTCCAAGATACAAAACGTTTTACATAATCTGTTTCAGCTATTGTACATTTAATTTCTAGAACAAACTGTTCCTCTTTGCAGAGGAATGTACTCTTAGAGCTCACACTTGTAAGCACTAAAACTCTGAAGCTGGAATGAAATGTTGGGGGTTTGGGTGTGGTTTTTTTTTTTTTTTTCATCTCTTTCAGGTCTGACAGCTACGAAGAACTTTCTCCTTCAATATGGACAATTTTTAAAAGAGCTTGACCTTTCTATTTTAACCACACTCTGGAATGAGAAGTATGGTAGTAAATTTGACTATGTGACAACTAGTTCTGAAGAAAAAGAAATTCGTGATTATTTCTTAAAACCACCTCTAGAGAAAACCCGTTGTTTTATATGGCTGTTAGAAGACAACAGAGAAAATTTTCCACTTCTTCATCAAGCTTTAGATGATTTCTTTGATAAAATGGGTAAGTACACAAAGGTCTTGCAATAAAATTCTTACAAGCATTGAATTTTGTCTGGTTTTACACCTCATTTGATGGGATCTGTAAAAGGCTGAAACCTCAGCAAGCTAGTAACCGCCTCGTTATATGGGATCTTCTGTGTTCAGTGCTTAAAAGGCAATGCAGCCTCAAAAGGCAAGCCAGCCTTTCTTGGGTTACCTTCTGCTGGTTTGTTTCGTGTGCCACAACCAGCACGTGAGTTTACCTTTATGCACATGTCTACCTTGACTTCAGCAAGGCTTTTGATACTATCTCCCATAACATCCTCATAGGGAAGCTCAAGAAGTGTGGGTTGGATGAGTGGACAGTGAGGTGGATTGAGAACTGGCTGAACGACAGGGCTCAGAGGGTTCTGATTGGTGGGGCAGAGTCCAGTTGGAGGCCGGTAGCTAGTGGAGTTCCCCAGGGCTCAGTACTCCGCCCAGTCTTGTTCAACTTGTTCATCAATGACCTGGATGAGGGGACAGAGTGTACCCTCAGCAAGTTCGCTGATGACACAAAACTGGGAGGAGTGGCTGATACACTGGAAGGCTGTGCTGCCACTCAGTAGGACCTGGGCAGGCTGGAGAGTTGGGCAGAGAGGAACCTGATGAAATTCAATAAGGGCAAGTGTTGAGTGCTGCACCTGGGGAGGTCGAACCCCATGCACCAGTACAGGCTGGGGGCTGACCTGCTGGAAAGCAGCTCTGCCGAGAGGGACCTGG